ATATATATTATTTAAGAACACAAATGCCTGTTAATAATACGAAACTAATGCAGGCGACTTTAACCTATGTCGAATAATGTATTAATTATAATATTAATAAAAGTAAAATAAAATTTATACATAGAAAAAATTGTATATGACTACATTTAACATTTTGAAGCTTTAAGTTCGTCGAATACAAACTTGGCATCTACTTATGCGACTACGAGTCATATCTTTCTTTAAAGTTTGTCTTTGTGGACTAGTGAATTGTTCTTCTGGATCGATAGTTGCCAACCAAAAACTCAATTTATTAGCAAAATAATGGCATGTACCACGTGCTCCATTACATTCAATAAATGGTGTTGCTCTAAAGTCTTCTAGACAAGAACCTGGACTTGCTAGAGATTGTCCTCCTCCTTCTGCACCAGCAGCGGTATGCTACAAATTTTCAACGAAATAAAATATTTAATTTAGGATAAAATAGGCAAATTAATAGATATAAAATTACTAACCATGACAAAACTGTATCCTATCCATAGTCCTTCCCAACCATTGGGACAATCAGGAACGGTCAATGCTTGACTGTGCACCGCAATGACGTTAGCAGGTGCTTCGCAAACAACACATCTACAATGAGTAATTAAATTAATAAAGTATTTTAACAAATATGTTATTCGTCAATTTAGTTTTAAATTATATTATCTTACCTTGAAATATATTTTTGAATTTCAACTTCTTCAACCGGCATCATTGGTAATGGTGCATTGGTACTTAACCAATAAGATTTGTCATTTCTACTAGCATAATTGCAAACATTATTGAAATCACAGAATAGGAAAGGCATTGTAGAAAATTTACGTATGCAAGAACCAGCAAAACCTATAACAAAAAAATAAATAAATTAGTGCCTTAATTTTTTTATTCATAAATAATTAAAAGTAACTATTATTATGATTTATTTACCTAAATCTTGATTATGTGCTTTTTCGTTTCCTTCAATGTACAACAAACTGAAACCATCCCATAGTTTTACATGGTTTGCCTCACATTCTGGTATTGCTGAGCTTTGACTGTGTTTCACCAATAGAATTCCAGTTGAATAATCTGGTTGGAATTCACAGGGTTTGCCAGGAATACCATCTTTACCGGGCAATCCAGGTTGTCCCTAAAAATTGGTCATTAATTTTAAACATTTAAAATATAGATTACTTATTATTTATTTGATATAGTTTTTTCTGTTGTATGATTTACTTGTAAGCCAGGCATTCCTTCTAATCCCGGTTCACCTTTATCACCACCTGGTCCTGGTGGTCCAATAGGACCCTCCAAACCAGGAAAACCTAATTTAAAATAATAACACTTTAAATATATTAATTTATGTGTTATAAGTGAGAATAACTAATATTTCATTAGTAAATTTAAGACAGAACATATGTATAAAATAATTTTATTGTCTTTTATTAACCTTAGAATTATCTTGAATTTAGAGTTATTTTATAAGGTAAAATTTAAGAATATGATTAAAGAAAAATAACATTTAAAAAAAAAATTAACGAAATTTTTTATTTTAATAATCAAAGATTTCTCTAGATACTTTTGAATAAAAATATTTGTAATATTCTTTGGTTAAGTATATTTATACAGTATTTATTTAAAAATATTTTTCAAAGTTTTTACTTAATATTTAATAATGAAAATTTCGAAAACTACATATTTTGATTTACCTTTTTCTCCCTTAAATCCACGAGGTCCTAATAATCCATCTCGTCCTCGGTCTCCTTTTTCTCCTGGCCACCCTGGAGGTCCTAAAAATATTTAATTAAATATATAGCATTTTGCTTATTATAATTAGATTTTTTTTATAAGTTATAATACAACCTAACCATATAAAAGTGCACAAGTTGTGCCTATAGTATATATTATAAAATAATTATTATAAATGGGTTAAATTTTTCAACTAAAAAATTTGAAAGAACAGCTAATTTGAATAAACTACAATCTTTGAATCTTTATGCTTTTGATATTGTGATAAATACTACATAAAAATGATACATTATTGTAGCATGATATAAAAAGTAATTCTATATGTCTTTGAAATCAATAGTAGCCATTAATGTTAATTGTCTTGAATTTTGGTTTTTAGTGTAAAATTTTTAATGAGAAAATAAGTTGAAATATATA